AATTTTATTTATAACAATGATGAGATGACTCAGATGATATTATTTTACTACAGAATAAAAAGCTTTATATTTTTTGAGGCTCCCAGATAAAGGTGGGTTGAAATGCATACATTAACTTGTAGAGTGTGGCACTTTAAATTCCTAGCAAAGAGATGGAGGAAGTATATTATTGTCCCTATTCCATATGCCTGAAAGAAGACACATAAGAGCACTTAGGCCTCTTAGTCATCTTGTCAAGATGAAACAATTCCTAAAACAATGGGTGACTCCAGGTGCAATCTCATCTCTCTAAGTTACAGTCCCTTTTAGGACACAGACTGGACAATTCTTCACTATCCTGTTATCTCACTCATGCTTTTAAAATGTATTATTTGTTTGCTCATTTTGGCAGCACATATACTAAAATACATTATTTATATGCAATCCAGGATTGTTTGTGAGTTTGTTGTTGTTTTACTTCTTCATTGGAAGAGTTAGGCCAAAATGATCTAGTCCACTGCTGCCAAAAGAAAGATGTGTCTAGATCTCTTCCTGGATAATCAAAATGGGTTTTGTTTTATCTAATATCAGCATATTATAATATAAGCTTATAATATAAACTTATTATAATATAAGCATACAATAAGCAAATATAAGCAGTTAGTATAAAAAATTCTAGACAGTTTATCACAATACATTAGTGTATATCTTATCTCTAAATTAGATAGGCATTAATATGTATTTTTTGAAACCATTTCTTGGCAAAAGATACCATCGGAATACCCCAGTTAGTTAAGGAACTTGTTATTGAGTAATTGTGTTTTTTTTTTATTGTAAGAATAACTAATTCATTTCATCTAGGATTTCTAGTTGTCTCTGTGTGTGTGTGTGTGTGTGTGTGAGATGTACTTCTGACTTAAGTATTTTATTATTATCTGCTTTTAATTAGTAATTTATTTTAGTGGCATACGTAAGGAAAACTACATGTCATTTGAAAATATTGCTGATAAAATTTCTTCTAGGCATTATTCTTATAATAGGAATCATAAGCATTATCAGAGCAATAAGATTATGAGATTAGTATTTAAATAAATGAAATATTCAACATGAACCTGGGCTTAGAAACTAGAAAATACATAGTTATTCAGAAGCATACAATCCTGTTTATGATAAATTTTGTTCTTATGATTTTAATAGAATGGGTTTTCAATCAAAGTTACTAGAATCATCTACTTTCAATTGGTGTTTCACAAATATTAATAGTATGTTTTCCTATTCTGTAGTGTTTTAAAAGCACATACTATTTTTACCCAAGTTTCTATTACTATTTATATCACCTAGTTGCTTTTGGAACAAATGCTTTATAAATGTTTTTCTGCTGTGGTTGAAGTTGTTGGGCCAACCTATACTTGTCTCTCTGCCTTTAGATTCTGCTTGAGGAGACTTACAAATTTGTATTCCTTTTAAAGTAAGCTCTTAATATTCCTCTAAGCCAAGTTGTGAAAATGAGAAAGTGCAGAAAGGGATCCACAGGGAGAAACTATTTTACTTGCCTCTTAGCTTTTCTAAGTAATCAAAAGAAAAAAGGTGGTCTGGAAATGTCATTCATAGTTTTCATTCATGAGATCAGAGAAACACCACAGCTTGAGCTATTTCCTTGAATATTTGAGAGCCCCCCCCCAATAGAAGTTTAAACATCAAAAATGCTCTATACATGTAAGCATACATGTATAACTGAATATATAACTGGATTATAATATACACATATATGTATAAATCCATCAAAAGAAGAACCGAAGGATTTAAAAAACACTCAGTACCATCTGTTATACCTAACCTATATGTTTTCACCTTTTCTCAGGGCATCAGATGAATCGATGTTATGAGATACATAATTTTAAGACCTCTCAATCGTGCATCACCATTGGAGCTGCAGGGATGGGAGGGGTGCTAAAACGATTGATGTTATTTGCTGCAAAGCAGTTGTCTATACAAACCAGCATAAGATGTTTGTAGCTAGAATACTATAGAATGAAATATACCATCATTAATGTATATCTATAAAAATATAGATTAACCATAATTGATAAAGAATCATTTTCAATATTTTTCTTTGAAACTCATATTTCTAAACTAATGATTATGATCACTCAAATAAATATACACAGACACTCAAAGACCAGTAGCTCTTAAAACTAGTTTTAAATTTATCTATGGATTGATTCATAGTTATGTTTCAGGTTGTTAATGCATCCTTAAACAGAAGCACCATTTATCTATAAAACATAATTTTGGTGGGTTTTATTCATCATTAAAACATTCTTGATAAAATTTAGAATGTAAGAATAAAAACATTTAATGTTTGTGATTTTGTGAGATGAAATCTTTGCTTGTTGATAACTATCAGAAGGACTAGTAAAGATGAGCATGATACTTTTGTAGGTAAAATAAATCTTACTGCTAAATTATTTAAGAAAAGGACCACTTGATTTTGAAAAGTAACAAGTGAACATAATTGTATTTTATATGTAGTTTTATATGGTATATTAGGGAAAAGATGAAACCTGTAGCATGAAATATGCAGAAAAGCAATTCTAGAGTTTCCAAAATGCATATAATTATTTAATAATACATATTACTGAGATAGTCTTAAAAATCATTTGAAAATGTAATCTAGAAATTAAAGAGAAAGCTTTTCTATGCATGTTAATAATTCCTGGGTGAATAGTAAGTCTTATCTCTAATTATGCATCCTCTCAAAAAAATTACATTTTAGAAAGATGTCCCACATAATTTTATACCAAATCTCAGCATTTATTCTAAGGTGTTCACATTATCTAATTAGCATTGTAATGTGTAACTACCAAAAGCACAACTAATTTGAATGGCCTGGGACCTAATACCATTTGCAGGAAGTTAGCGGAGAGATTCCAAGGTGACTTAGTAGCAGTTGTATTTCTAAATGTCAGAATAGCCAATACTGTTGTTAGAAGCAGGTGTCCCATTATCTTGTACCTGATTTTACAAGAGACCAGAAGATGGAATTCAGGAATGTTAATGGAAAATTATTAATAATTCTTATTTGATACTCTACATGATGTTATTACTTTTATAAAACTCTGTCTTTCTGTAAGCTTGTAATATTAAAATAAAAAACATAAAGAAACACTGTGTCTGCAAATTTCAAACTTTCCTTATGCCTAACTGGTCAAATATATTTTCTTTCAGTGATATATATATATATATATATATATATATATATATATATAATCAGAATGAGTATTTTAAAAAGCAGACTGAAACTATTCCTTATGTTTGGATTACTCAGGAAGCATTGAAATAAAATGTGAATATGGATAAATGTCAGTAGGAAACATTGAACCATCAATACAAGTGACTGAGCAAGATGCTTGTGACCTATTTCCATCATTATTTTTTCAGTGATGTACTAACAAACAAACAAATTTTGGGCTGAGTCTGTCTTGTAGGATTTTTTTAGTTTCAAAAGCATGCCTACCCCCTTCTTTAACAACACAAACAATGAAGACTTGAATAACCTTGGTTTTTAGATTTAAAAACTAGATTTTATATAACAATATAAGGGTAAGTGTAGTTCTGTTTATTTTCATCAAATAATTGTGTGGCAGCAAGGGATCCACGGCAGGGATCATTTAACATTAACTTCGCATGTGCATGTGAAGGACTATATGATCAGTCCTGGCCGTCAGATACAAAGATGTGTGCTATTTTTAACATTACAATTTGTGATTGTACCCAAAACTTAAAGAACTGTTTATTGAATAGCTTATAAAATGCATTTGGTTAGTGCTTCCTTCTCTTCCTCCTCAAGAGGGAGACCAGTTTCAGAAACAGAGTAAAAGAAGGTAGAATGGCGAAAGGGCATGGGGGGAGGGGTGGTTGTGGAGGACACAGTGATGACTGCAGCTGATCATATTTATTCCAAATTATATGCCACGACTTTCTCCACTCAACCTTCCCACCATGAAAACTGTCATCACCTACAACAAAGGAACAAAGGACAATCATTGCTCCCCCACCCAACCATCATGGAAATTTCAGTTAGAATAGTAATTTGTAGTATTTCTAACCTGGCTACTATTGAGCAACTTCAAAATGCAAGACACAATCACAGTGTTGAGGAGTTAGAGTGTCTGTGAATGTCAGCTGAAAACTAAAGGTCCTTTTCACCTGGATGAAAACCGGTAGGATTATCCAAGTTATTTCTCACGCTAATGGACAATGACAGAGTTGTGAATTCCCATAGTTGGTAAGGATTGTCTGAGAACACAAAAGGAAAGCCATACCCAGATTACAAATTATATTTTCTGGTTTGGCATAATTATTAGAAGAAGTGTTTTCAATGGTTAATCAAAACCATGATATTGAACTTTAAAATTTAAGGATAGGGAGTGACTCTGTACCAACATAATCTGATAAAGACAGATGATAGGATTTTACTTAACTGCTGTTTAGTAAGTGAGCATCAGTTTTTCCTCTCTTAACTTCACAAATAAATCTTATTTCTTTAGAGTCAATTTATGTTTCCCAGCATAATGATGCATTTTATCTATTCAGCTATGCTAGTGTTCTCTGAAGCCAGCCAGCAATGACATCACCTCACCTACAATATAAATCTATCAGTACATAAACAACATCATTTTTATTTCAATGCCGATGACACACTGCCTGTCGATTTGGCAGTTAAATAATTTATATCTCTTTTAGGTGCAATCTGCCAGACATATTATAACTCTACTTCTGATATTCATCTCATGTTTAATAGTTCTTTGCCTCATGAGGATGCTTGTCAATCAATTAAATTGAAATGTCATTCTGACCTTTTATTGGAAACAATTTACTCTTTTTTTCATTTCATCACGAGTTGTTTTTTTTCATTTTATTTAAATTAAAAGCCTTAATTACTGGTATTTAGCAACTTTATACTAATTCACTTGCAAAACTACTTGCTCATCAACACCGCTGACACTTTCTCTCTACAGAGGTTATCCAATTGAGTCTGCCTGAAGATCAGAAACTAAGCATTACAGCAGCGACTGTGGGACAAAGTGCAGTTCTGAGTTGTGCCATTCAGGGAGCGCTGAGACCTCCCATCATCTGGAAAAGGAACAATATCATTCTAAATAATTTAGATTTGGAAGACATCAATGTGAGTATATAAATAAACGTTGCTTTATAATTTGTATGTTTCACGTGACATACTCTAGACTGTGGAATCTGAGGAGCTTAATGAATATTGGAGGTAGAGTAAAAGAGAATTATTGGAACGTTTCCATGGCCATTTTACTGACTGGGAGTTACACTATAGATCATTTGAAGTTATCCAAATTATCCAAATTGCTTGTGTAGATGTGGTAAGCAGGTTATGTGGCACTGTGAGGTGCACAAGATGACAGCAACTTAAACCACCAAGGTCTATCAGAATTTCTCTAATTACCAATAATTAATATCCTATTGTTATTCTGGTTGAACAAAACACCCTACAGCTTGTCAGGTGTTAAAGCGGGTAAAGACAGTTTTTGCTTCAAATACATCATAATGTATGAGAAACAATAAATATTAATCAAGTAAAAGGATTATTTTTCTAGAATGAAGGAACATGTTTCTCCAACCCAGTTCACTCCTGGAAATTCAGAATCCTACTCAGTTCAATAGGGTCTAGCTCCAAAGGTGAAACAAAACCCAAAAAAACTCCAGGGTAGTCAGGTGTTCCTACCATGCTATCTGCTGAAAGTGAGCATTTAAAAGTGAACAGCATTCCAGACAGTGAAAAGAAGTAAAAATTTTACGGTGTGGGACACCTATGGATATAAGGTGGGGCAATCCTATGCCTTAGTGATTTGGGGGTTTTATACTGTCCTTGCATTTTTATTATTACTCGAGAAAGCCGTTGCTTAGCCTCTTCTTCTTTGCTGCTTTATAAAGAGCTGCTAAAACACAGGCCCAAGAGTCACTCCTACTTGTTACATCATACTAATACTTTTGTTTATTGTCCTCAAATGATTCAAACACAGAAAGTTTCCCAAATTTTATTATTATTTTTTTTACTTTGATAAAGTGTTTCTAAATTGGCTTATATCTGGAAACTTTCCTCAAAGATGGAGGATAATGTTTAATTCTCTAAGATATCAAGTACATTGCGCTATAGAAAGCTATAATCTCAGAAGCACTCAAGATTCTTTGAGAGGTATGGCCCTAGACAAAACTATCTTGGGTTTGTCTTTGGTTTTTTATGTCTACATTTTATCTTTTATTTTCTACCTCTATTCTTACTATCAACCTCTCCACTATTATTTTCAAGAAACGCATGTATTCTAGTAGGCAGTCATTTGAAAATCTCAAACTCATTTCAGTTGTTTCAAAAGTAAGGAAGATGATGTTATGCATGATGTTCCATGGACAACTTGCAAAAGTGGACCCGTTCTTGTGTATATATCTTATAAAATATTTTGCTTACTTCCTAATTCTTGATTCTGTTCTAGAAACTTGAGATTTCTGGAAAAAAATTGATTATAGGCAAGTTAGGTCTTTAAAATATATGTGTTACATAAATTCTGGAATCGATAAATTAATTTTCATTAGATGATGTTATTTTGAATATATTTCATAGAGTAGACAAATTTTGAGAATTTCAAAAACACTTTCAGTACTTAGAAAGTTTCAATTTTATTTTGACCCATATTTAACTGAGTTTAATAAGGATTCATAATCTATAGTGTGCACATAACTACCAGCCTTTCACATAAAATTGCAGAGAATATCCAAATATATCTTTGAAAGAAGGGATTTTTTTCCATTTCCCAATATACTCCTGGTGTTTTCATTTAAGTACTAGAGCATCAACTGTCAAAGTACCTAAATATAGTTAAAATGTGAAATAAAACAGTTATAAAATGTTACTTATTATGTTTTGTTTTATATCTGCTCCTGCTTAAATAAGGACTTCACCATGTAAATAACATCCATGAAAAAATCTCTGGAGTTGTTCAGCATCCAACTTCAATAGGGTTTTTAGTTGACCAGTCTAAATATGTCGTTTGAGCATCTTTGACTTCTCATTCCCTAAGGCTGGCACTCTGCTCTCTTGGATATTCTGTGAGCTTCCTAATGTCTTTATTAAATTCATTTCCTGCCTGAAACTACCTAGAATGGATTCTATTGTTTGCCACTGAGAATGTTGTCTAATTAATTTTTTGGATCTAGTATGTTACGAACCATCTATTATTATATATCCTTAAAATGTATTTTTTGTTGTTAGATATGAATGTCTGATGTGTTGAAAGAGCAAGATGATTTTACTGCAGGGAAACACAGTCTCAGTTGGTTTATAAGCAAAGAAGACTTTCAAAAAGTTCATATGTGAATCAGTTTTTATACCCTATTATTATATTATCTATTTCCACAAAGTGGGTTTAATTCCAATTAAATTATGTAAAGTCAAAATTATAAGTGCCTTTCATGTCAAGGGGAATGAGTAACAATTAGCAATAGTCTTTCTGGTTCTTTAATATATATAAGATAGGATTGAGTATATATTCACCTAGTCAATACCTGAATACCTTCTGATTGCAAAAGATTAAAATAATATGGATGTAATTTTTTTGTAAATAGCATAACTGCTCCTTATCTTTTATATTTACTTATCCTCTCTCTTAAGTGTGGAGGAAATTCTGTAAGTACACTTTTAATTACCCCCCAGATGCATTGCAAATATAATTTTATTTATTGAATAGGATAGATTAATACTACTACTCAATATTTCACTCCATTAGTCCTAAGAACAGCTGTATGAAGCAGGGAATCTTATGCTGTATTCATACATGTGGGGGTTTTTGCTAAGATAGTTTTTTTTTTTTTTAGATTTAAAAAAATTTTTTTATTGGGGAATTGGAACAGTGCTGGGGAACTGGGGGAAGGGGAACAGAAAAGTTGCTGTCATTTTGTTCTTCAGTCTAGTTGTGGAGGACGTTGTCACTGGCCCTCATATGTGGGATCCGAACCAGGGCCCTCTGGCGTCCCAAGCCAGCTCTTAACCAACGCGCCACTCGGCCGGCACATAAGATAGTTTTTCACCTAAGGTTTCCATGAGCTAAAATGTGGCCCACTGGGAATGTTTACGTGACCTGATTGACTATGGATCATGATCTTAACCTCTGGGTGGAGTGGGATATTTTTAGTTTTGGGCGCCTTTTGGAAAATGTATCTCAAATAATTCTGGCCCCTATATATTACAAATAGATTTAATATTCTCTGCTATTATGTGTGGGACTGATTGATATCCAGTCGATGTTTGAAACCTTTCATTTTGCCTGTCTTCCACTGTGTACCAAATGGATAAAAGGGCATAACTGAACCACTGGAGAGAGTATCCCACATTTGTTTCAACATGGGCTGGGTTATAGATTGTCTGGGTTCCAATTAATATTCAGTCTCTTGGGAGTGATGCTCCCTCAATCAAGTTATTTAACTTCCCTATGTCCCAGCTTCCTTGTCTTAAATAGAAGATAGCAATAGAATAAACTCATTTTTTGTGAGAATTAATCATCAAGCTTTTTAAAGCTGGTAACACTCTATGAGGCTCATTGTAAATGTTCAGTTAAACTAGGTTCTTTGTTTTCTTCTCTCTATTCCTCCTCCTCCTCCTCCTCCTCCTCCTCCTCCTCCTCCTCCTACTCATCCCTGCCTTTCTTCTCCTCTTCTTTCATCCCTTCATTCTATATATGTTTCAAGGAGCACATCCACACCCAGCCTTCCTAAAATAATAGGAATTGAATGTTGGGATACATACAAGTAATAAGGAAGTTTGGAAACTCACAGGAAATGCCAGAACCAAATTTTATCCAATTATGACCACTGAAACTAGAAGATTTTTTTTTCGCATGCAGCTTCAGAAATCATGCTGACTTATCTCCCTATTAGCAACCTTGTATTAACCCCTGCTCTAAAGATATGCCATGAAATTTACTGAGCTACCATATATTTATCTATTGGGTTGTCGGAAAAGTCATGACGTATTTTTTCTATGTTTTTCGTTGCAAAACTGCATCATGACTTTTCCAACAACCCAATATTTTCCTTTGTATGTGTGTCCTCATTCCTCTTTCTCCCCAAATTCTTGAAAAAGATAATTGGCTTATTTTCATCATCCAGTTTGGGCAGAACTTGGCACATAAACTACAATTCTAGTATTATTTTGACTGAGCTTGAGTCTTAATCCTGGTCTCATCAGCTGTGACCACGGGATGCAGATGAGATATGAGGTATAAAGCAGGAGTCTCCTCGTGACCTTACCTGTCTCCAGCTGCTTCCTGATTCAGAAGTCCTCTTCGTTAGGGAAGTCCTCTTCGTTAGGCAAGCATGGAGATAAAGATGCTGGCCGAGTGGCTCAGTTGGTTAAGAGCTCGCTCAAGAGTTTGAGCTCTGAGCAACAGCAGTTCGATTCCCGGCCCGAACTGAGCAGCCGCTGAGCTGCCAACAGGTGGCAGGATGGCTCAGCTTAAAAAAAAAAAAAGATGTAGATTTGAGAGAAACGTCAGTAGAGAACAGAATTGGTGACAGGATTGGCAGTCAGGAATGAAGGAACGAGAAGAGTTGAAATATAGCACTATTTTATTTTATTTTATTTTATTAAGTTTATTGGGGTGGCATTGGTTAATAAAATTATACACATTTCAAATGTACAATTCTATAATAATTCTATAGTATAGTGCATTGCATGTTCACCACCCAAAGTCAAATCTCCTTCTGTCACCATATATTTGACCCCCTTTACCCTTTTCTACCTCCCCCCACTCCTTACATTAGCTGTGCTCACTTTACCAAGAAAATTTCAGTAAGCCTTTGGAAAGTGGAGTTTTTGTTTGTTTGTTTGTTTGTTTTTTTCTTTGTTTTTACCTGAGAGAAATTAGGTCTAAAAACCCTAGCCATTATTGTGTGTATGTTATTTATATGTGTTGTTTTTCACCATTCATTAAGTTATATTAGAATCTGGTCATTAGTCAACATTGAAATCAAATGATGTCACATTAACCTCGATTTCAATTCTAATTTTTACCACTTATTAGTGATGTAATCATGATGAATTGATTGATGCAATTTAAGCTTCAGTCTTTTCATCTGTGAAGTATGGATTATCATAAAGTTCAATGA